CATGAGTCACCATATCAGGCACCTCCCTCTTTTTCTTCTTGCAGTGCTGTGGGTCAAATCCAGAGCCTCACATAAGGCTAGGCAGGCTCTACCAAATATCAGGCAGTCTCAATCTGATCTTTGTACAGCTCAGCTCTCAGTCCTATATGAGATTGTGGATTTCTAGGGTTCTATCTCTCAACAGCTCCCTCTCCCCTGATAGCCCACCCAACGGATTCCAGTGGTATGAGCTGTCCCTTACAATGAATGGTCTCAGTGTTCTCAGCTCAGAGCCATTGTGTTTTGCTGACACCAACCTTTTCACAGCACAGGGAGCTGGGTGATTGTGGGGCTCAGCCAGTTTCCCTTTCTCTTAAAAATGGTTGCCTTTACCAGTCTCCTGTTTGTAAATCCAGCATTGAGAAGCCTGAGGCAGGGGAACTGCCATGAGTTTGGTGTGATCTTGGGCTACATAGTGAGTTTCAGGCCAGCTCAGCTTGGGCTCTAGTATAAGAACTATCTTTTGATCTTCCTGCTTCCTCCCATTGTGTGCCACACCAGGACAGGTGACACTGTCTCAAAACAAAAAGCCAAAAAGACTGAGTCATGGGCTGCCTGGAAACAGCTGCCCAGCATGTCCACTTTTATAATTTCTAGCTGTGCAGGAGAGACAAACACAAAAGACTCTTCCCTCCTATTGCTAAGGGAAGAGATCTAGATTTGCCCAAGTAGCAAAAAACAGGAGAATTTGACTTTCTAGAACCTATACTTTCAATTGATAAAGGGAAGACCGGCCTGAGAATAAATGTGCCAGGCAAAGAAGAAATGGGAATTGCTGGAACAAAACCCTGGCTACATTCAAGCTCTTGTTTGAGTTACTTATCTTTAAGTCCAGTAGACTCCTGTCTTTCATATAGTTTTCTTACTGTGCTCACTAGTTTTATGCCAACTTGACACAAGCTAGAGTTATTGGAAAGGAGGAAACCTCCATTGAGAAAACGTTGCCTCCATAAGATTCAGCTGTAGGGCATTTTTTTTTCTTTTTTCTTTCTTTTTTTTTTCTGAGCCAGGGTTTCTTGTATATCCCTGAATGTGCTGGAGCTCACTCAGTAGACCCGACTGGTCTCGAACTCAGTGATCCACTGCCTCTGCCTCCCAGAGCATGCTCCACCACTGCCTGGTATGAACTTGGCTTATGTGGGTGCTGTAGGATATTTTCTTAATTAGTGATTCGTCAGAGAGGGCCCAGCCCACCATGGGGACAACCCTAGACAGGTGGTCCTGGCTTCTATAAGACAGCAGGTTGAGCAAGCCATTAAGCAGCAGCCCTCCATGGCCATTTCATTAGCTTCCACATTCCTGGCCTGTTTGAGTTCCTGCCGGGACTTCCACCATTGATGAAGTGGATAGGTAAACCAAATGAACTCTTTGCTACACAGTATGCTTTTGGTTGTGATGTCTTATTACAGCAAAAATAACACTAAGACACTTACATAGATCACTAAATTTCTTCCCTTTCCTTAGTTGGCTCAATTTTCACTTGAAACATTAAGAGAGGAGTCTGAAGGAACTGGAAAAGTAACAATAGACAGGAGCTGGATTGGCTAGATGTGGCCTAATTAGACATGGATGCTGATGATTCACAGGTGATGTAGAGACAAAAAAGCTGGAGTTGGAGATGGAAATGTATTAATACTGTAGTAAGAGCTTGGTAGCTTCTTTTTGCTAAGAATCATCCACTCAGTTGACTCTGCAATGCCAAGCAGAAACAGGGTAAACTAAAAGCAGGATAAAGCTTGGCATCTCTGTTTTTATCCTGTTTCTGTCTCTGTCTCTGTCTTTTGGTGGTAGGGTGGTTTCAAGACAGGGTTTCTCTGTGGCTTTGGAGGCTGTCCTGGTCTTGTAGACCAGGCTGGTCTCGAACTCACAGAGATCTGCCTGCCTCTGCCTCCCGAGTGCTGGGATTAAAGGTGTGCGCCACCACTATCCTTCTTGCTGTCTTAAACTGAGTTGGATTTCTCCTTCACTCTACATCTAGAGGCGCTTATCACTAAAGGGGTTTGCAGCTAGTGAAGGTAATCCTTCCTCTTCTGCAAGGTCCAAGACACTAAGACAAAAGTATTTTAAAGAGTTTCCAACAATATAAGCAACAGGTTACCACAGCCACCTTTAAGAATATTCTTTTCTAGACCTCTGAAATGGCTCCCAGAGGCCCCACTGCCCCAAACCTGCCAGGGAGAGTGATCTGCACATGACTCTGTGGTGAGCCTGGCCCCTAAACAAGAGGAACACCTCACAGTAAGACCCAAACTGCCCCCACAGGTGGTGAGACTCACTCCAGAGCCTCCAAATACTAGAACTGAGACAACATAGGGCCAGGCAACAGTTTGACCAAGACTACCTAATTATGCATGCCTCCTGCCTTTGGACTTGAGTCTTCAAAGCTCGGGTCAGTAGTGCAGAACCAAGGATATTTGATCCCCCTTGGCTTCCATATTAAATAAATTTGTTTAGGGGGCTGGAGAGGTGGCTCAGAGGTTAAGAGCACTGGCTGCTCTTCCAGGGGTGCTGAGTTCAATTCCTAGCAGCCATCTGTAATGAGATCTGGTGCCCTCTTCTGGCCTGCAGGGATACATGCAGACAGAACACTGTATACATAACAAATAAACCTTTTTAAAAAGTTGTTTATGTTTTTCACCAGGCTGTCTTACTAGACAGTTAATTTTTTGTTTTTGTTTTTTGAGACAGGGTTTTCATGTATAGCTTTGGAGCCTGTCATGGCACTCACTCTATAGACCAGGCTACCCTCAAGCTCACAGAGATCCGCCTGCCTCTGCCTCCCGAGTGCATGCTGGGATTAAAGGCATGCACCACTACCGCCCAGCGACTTTTAATGTTTTTTTTAATTACATTTTTTTAAAAGTCATTCGGTGGTGCTGTACACCTTTAATCCCAGGCATAGGCAGTCGGATCTCTGTGAGTTCGAGGCCAGCGTGGTCTAACAGAGTTCCAGGACAGCCGGGTTACACAGAGAAACTCTCTCTCCATAAACAAATACTAAGAAATTATCTTTACTTTTAAAAATGTAAAGTATAATTACATCATTCTTCCCTTCCACCTCTCCAATGTAATCCCCATGCTATCCTAAATTCACAGGGCCTCCTCTTTAACGATTGTTGTTAAATATACATATAAACGAATAAACATACAAATATAGCAGTTAACTGCTTATAGTTCTTTAGGGGTCGTGTCCCATGAGATTGCTCCCATCTATACTGGGTTATCAGTTGTTCAGGTCCTTTTTAGGCAACCATGTGGTAGATATTTCATGGGTGTAGTTCCCCTGTCATAGCTACAGTCTTACAGCAGACATCCTGGTCCTCTGGCTCTACAATCTTTCTGTTCCCTCTTCAGAACTATTTCTCGACCCTCAAATGTAAGAGTTGTGTTGTGGATGTCTCAGTTGTGGCTGAGTACCTCATGGTCAGTTGTTCTCTCCGCCCCGCCCCCCTTTCTGTTTTTTGAGATAGCATTTCTCTGTGTAGCTTTGGAGCCTGTCCTGGAACTTGTTCTGTAAACCAGGCTGGCTGGAACTCAAGAGATTGGTCTGCCTCCAGAGTGCTGGAGTTAAAGGCCTGTGTCACCACTGCCCTGCTTGTACTCTGCATTTTGACTAGCTGTGGCTTTCTGTAATGGTCTCCGGGTGCAAAAAACAAGTTTGTTTGATTTTGTTTTTTCCCCTTTGGCTTGGTTTGGTTTTTTTGAGGGGTGAGACCTATACTCATCTGTATTTGGAGTACAATTAGGAATTATACTGGTCAGGAAAGTGTTGACAGTAGGTTCTTCTCTTAAGTCGACAACCTCTGCAGCCACAGGTAGCTGCCTAGGTTTATAGTACCAGGCATGATTTCTCTCCTGTTCAGCAGACCTTTAAGTTATCTTACCATAGTAGGTATATTGCACAGTAATTGTGGTTCATATACCTTACAGCTGGGTAGGAATACCCAGTGCTGCTCTTCGTTGGCAGCCTGAATAGCACTGACACTATGAGAGCCACTCCTCAGGGAAGACATTCCCAGATCAGTTCCATTACTCCAAGTTCTACCTGAGGTGTATCGAGTCTTCAGCAATGAGACAGCCGGGGCAACACCAAGAGCCTATATTGTTTTGTGTCTCTTGGAATTACGTTACCCAACAACTTGAGAGAGGTTTTTCATGAATGGTATTAGAAGTTTTGTTAGATAGTACATGGCTGTTTCAAGAAACATTATTGCCCCAAGACAATCTCTGTGTCTGTCCGTCTCTCTCTCTGTACATACATCTATGTGGTGGATGGCCCCCACAGGCTCATAGATTTGAAGATCTGAATGCTTGGTCACTAGGCAGTGGAACTATTAAGAGGTGTGGACACTTGTTGGAGGAGGTGTGTCACTGGGGGCGGTATTGAGGTTTCAAAAGCCCAATCCAGGTCCAGTGTCTGTCTGATGTATACTTAGTGTTATTTAACCGTCCTCCCCAGGTAAAGCCCTCCCTTTCCTGTTTCTCCATTTTATCCCATGTTGTCTGATTCATTTGGGTGCTGACTGCTTCCATTTGAAGGTAAGCTCTCCAACAAAACTTGTCTATCTTACTCACTTATTACTTAGAACTGATGCTAAGGATACAAAAGATTTTTTTTTCCTTTTTAAATATTTATTATGTATATAGTGTTCTCCCCACATGTATCCCTGCAGGCCAGAAAAGGGCTCATTACAGATGGTTGTGAGCCACCATGTGGTTGCTGGGAATTGAACTCAGGACCTCTGGAAAAGCAGTCAGTGCTCTTAACCTCTGAGCCATCTCTCCAGCCCACAAAAGACTTTCTACCTTTGCCAAATAAGCTGGACCTACAGGAAACAACCCTGCTCATGTACTTCAGTTTAACCTAAAATAAATGCTAACATTTATTCATATTACAGTGTCAAGATGCAAATGTTTATATTCATGTAATTTTATATATATGTACCAAAATCAAAACTGTGAAACAAGTTTAACTTTTAATTTATTAGAACCCAGTAAGATTTTTAAAAGCAGCGTTCCTGTCAAAATAACACTTAATTCATGGAAAATACATTAAAAGAAACCAAAACAAACAACCCTAGTTCTTAAGGCAGAAGTAAAACACTGTAAACAAAACAAAACCACATGTCTAATACAGACTGTATAGAATGTCACAATGTAAAGAGATCACATAGTACTTTATAGCACTACAATGTTAATACAGTCAAAAGTATTATCAATTGGTCCAAGATTCCCCAGTTTATAAAATGTCTAGGCTGCTAAATGAAGTTTTTTGCGAGTAAGCATAGCTAGCACACCACCAAGAGACCGTTTTTATGACAATGGAGTTGGCAGGAGACCTTATGGTTCTGTACAGCATGAAGTACCACTAAGCACTATAGATTCAGCTCCCCTTGCTCACCCCTGTGGATGTGGATCACCCCCCCTACATTTTAATGTAAATTGTCACTTTTTGACTGTAGGCCTGACTTCACCGACAACAAAAGTATGAACTGTTTGGTTTCTTGGTACACGTGAGAGTGTGTGCACAAGCAGTTACATGTATGCAGGCGTAGGTGCATATATATGGAGGCCAGAGGTCAACGTGTGTGTGTGTGTGTGTGTGTGTGTGTGTGTGTGTGTGTGTGTGTGTGGGTCAGGCGCTGTCCCTTACTGGGACCTGGAACTTGATAATTAGGCCAGGATGGCTGGCCAGTGAGCCCTAGGGATCCATTTGTCTCTGCCTCCTCAACACTGGATGACCTGATACAGTAGAAAAACAAATTTTAATAAATTACTTCATCTTTTCCTGGCCATTAAATAACTTTGGACTGAAGTATAGGAACTTCAGTATCTCAGTAAGTGAACAATCATTTCTTCTATAGGTTAGTATTTTGAATAGAGCCTTAGTGTGGGGACTTTTCATGTATAATGATTTATTTTTCAGTGTTGGAAACCAAACCTAGGCCTCACACTACCACTGAGCTATGTCACTTTCCATTTCATGTTTATGTGCAATTAATAACAGCCTTTCCAAAAAACAGGGTTTACAGCCTTACATTTCCCCCCTTATGATCAAAACCTTTTATTTTTAGGGAACACACACATACACACACACAAATTAAAAGTGCTTGAAACCAAAAATACAAGGATTAGCTAGCTTATACATTCTAATGGAATAATGGCAAAAGACACAACGCACTAAAAATAATTCTGTAAGTCTAGCAAATGAGCTTGGAGGGTTCTTAACTAACATTAATTACAAATGTTCATTTTTATTACAAAGTTTTCAGCTATTTCAATAAAACAGTTGTAGACTTCACGGTACTTCTATTCATCTGTTTATTAATAAAAACCTGTTAAAATCCCTTACTTAGTAGTTCTGGAAAAGTCTAATCAAATACAATCATTAAAACTACCAGAAAAGCTTTGCTGTACTGATTGCAGACTCATTTCAAAGTGGACTTAGTCACTCTCAGGATCTGATATGTGAATGGTGAATACATTCACCATACTGAGATCCGAAAATATAAAGAATTTTAGCCAGTGCTGACTACAGTTAAACAGTACTGGTATTACTTGAAAAAAATAAAAATTCATTGTCAACCATGCATTCTGCCACTTCAAGAACTAAGTAAGGAATAACTTATAAATATTGTTATGATGACCTGGGCTTTCATCGGGCCTCAGGCCTATCTCATCAGCACTCAAGTTAAATAAAAGGAGCAGGGAGGTCATTCTGTACACACATTGCCCATGGCTTGGCATCCCGTTCCCCACTTTCTGTGTGTGTAACTATTCTAACATAACTCTTTAAAGAGTGTTAATCAAGGGGTGGTAGAGAATACCTATGGGGGGAGTAATAAAAATGTATTAGTGTCTAGACTTTTCAGCTGAATAACTAACTTCTCATTGCTGTTACACAATGTGCAACATATAACCTGTACAAACATTTGTTCCTGTTTGTCTTTTTGTGAAAAAAAAATTAGGTTCAATAAAATGTGAAATTTACATTAGTTTGCTTTAAATGCAAAGATTAACTGTTTTTGGCTCAGCTGTGTTGTAACCAAAAAAAGTATTTGCTTTGATAATACAATATGAAAAAGTTCACATATGTACACTAGTACATTCCTTCATTAAAATCTCCTTAAATCTATCTCAATGTATCTTTACAACTGATACAATTGATCTTTACAACAGAAGTCAAAATTGACAAGTAGAGATGATTCGATGCACAGCACTTTGGGTTTTGAGCATCCCTTAGACTTAAAGGACATCATTGAAGCGCTGTTTGCCATAGTCTGCAGGATCCATCTGAAGCTCTCGTTCTTCATCATCTGCAAACAAAATAATATGTATCAAGAATAGGGCTCCAAAGCTGCCACAGACAGCCAGCTTCAAACAGTCTCCAGTTTTTCGGCTTAATGGCAATCTTAGCTGTACTGTTTCTTAGCTGCATGGTTGAAGAGTGAAAAGTCTATCACTACTTTGTAAGGCCTGGTGGCTCCCTTGTAATCCCAGCACTAGGGAGGAACCGGAGGCAGAAGGATCAGGAGTTCAAGAACTGGAGTACACAGAGAGCTTAAGGTCCATCTGGGCTACATGAGACCCCATCTCAAAGAATCAAAAGAACAACAACCATCCCCAATCTAAAAATAGAACAAGAACCATCTCTGACAGGTATTAAGGGGACAGAAAAATGTCGCACAGATAAGAGCTAACAAAATGTTAGTAATCCCCAGAACCAAAGAGCTAGTGCTGTGCACATGTTATTTAAAAACCGGCGTCTTAGCTGATCATAGGGGTTTGCATGTGCCTGTGAGGTCACAGTTTCAGGTCATTCCTAGCTCCAGAGCCAGTTCAAGGGCAGCCTAAGCTGAAGGAGATACTCTCAAAAAGCGACCATCATCTTTTCAAATTATAAAGGTAATCTATAGTGGTCATGAAAAAAATGGGAAAATAGGAGAATATAAGCTCTCCCTAGTACCAGCATAGAACATGCCAGTTAAGATCTCTACAAATAGCTTTCTCTTGACTTTCTAAATGCAGCACACTAACCAAAACTTAACTTTCTTAAAAAACAAACAAACAAAAACTACACCCACACTAATGTTAGACCCTCACAGCCTTTTGGAGCAGCTGTATTAAGTGACTAATGAGTACCTTTTGCTGTATGCCTTCTCTGGCTATAGTCTGCTTATCTGTCAGCTGTCATTTCTGTACTTTGAGTTTATCTCTCAACAACAATCTCTTTAAAAGAGTTTTAAAAATATAAATGTTCAAAATAAGTAAAATCATGTTAAAATAAGAATGAAAGGAAGAGCTAGGAGATGGTGGCACACCTCTTTAGTCCCAGCACTGGGAAAGCAAAGGCAGGTGGATCTCTGTGAATCAAGGACAGCCTGGTCTACAGAGTGAGTACCAGGGGAGCCAAGGCTACACGGAGAAACCTTGTCTTGAGAAACAAACTAGCACACATACACACACACACACACACACACACACACACACACACACCCAACAACACACAAAACACCCCACACCACACAAACAAACAAAAAAAAAAAAAAAGGAATTAGAGCCTGAGGAGCTGGCTTTCTTTGTTCAATGCCTCATTTTTTTTTTTTTATTTATGTTTTAGTGTCTCCCACACTTTATTGACTACCATACTGAAAATGAAGAGCAGGGTATGCTTTTGTGTGTACTATTGGAAAGCTGAAAAATCATATGCTGGATCAATATAAATTAGGAACCATCTCTGAATCTTGAAGTAATTTTTTTATTATTTTTTCTAAGAATTTCATACATATGTTCTGATCATATTAACTCCCACTCCCCACACCCCAACTCTTCCCAGATCTAAACTGTCCTGTAATAGTTTGTTTTTCAGACAATATCACTATGTAGCTCAGGTTGTCCTTGAACTCATAATCCTCCTGTTTTAACCTTCCATGTGCAATTTAGGTCTTTTAAAAAATGACAAAAAAAAAAAAAAAAAAAGCCAACTTTCTTTTTTCTTTCAACAACTTTCCAGTTAAAATCATAGAATTGCAGGCAACCATTTTGTGCCATATCCTTAAAAATGATCATGTTTTTGTTTTTTAGGGGAGTGCTGTGGACTGAACTCCAAATTGTCTGCATACTTGTCAAGTGCTCTACCACCAAACTACACCCTCAGCCTGTTTCTATTTGTTGGCTCGTTTGCTTTTCATCTGTTTTATGGTGCTAAAGATGGACCCAGGGCTCTGACCATATTGCTCACTGAGTCATGTCCCTAGATTGCTTTGACTTTTTATTCTGGAGATAGCATCTCACTAAAAGTTGCTAGGCTGGTCTTGAACTTGGGATCCCCTGTTCTCAGCCTACAAAATAGTTGGGATTAGAGGCCTGTGCCACCAGGCCTAGCTTGATGATCACATATCTCTAAAGTAAAATATACCCCAGATCTATTATAACATTTGTAAAGGCTGAAGTTAACTATATCCACATTTATGTGTTGTAATAATGACAACCACTTTCTTATAAAAAGCAAAAACAAAACCCGCACTTCAAAAAGAAAACAAAAAACAAAAACAAAAAAACTATCTTTGGTTTTAAAAGGGGGACTTTTCTAGAATGCTCTCTGGAGAACCTGAGTAATGAGGCCTCAATCCATGCCTATGAACACATCTTTCAAGACATTAGTAATTAAATGAAGACAATCACTATGGAGCAATGGAACATTCTGAGAAATTCAACACAGAAGTTACTGTAGGAAAAATGTTACTTTTCTAAATTTTTATATGAATAAATACGAAGAGAAAATGAGATAAAAGCAAAGGTTCTAAGAATAGAAAGCACTGAAATTTGCTTCTGGTTCAAATACTTAAACACAATCTAGTTCCTATTCTTTGGACCTGCACTGTACCTTGTCAGTACAAGAACAACTGTCCTACCTCAGAATAAAATGATGTAACTGCAATTTCATTTGCCAAGTCCTCTATAAATGTAAGGGAAATTTGACAAACTAAGTCTATGTTCTTTACTTGTGCATGTGTGTCCATGAATGTGCGTGTAGCTAAGGACTAATTTCAGGAGCTGCATATGCTGGACAAGCACTCTACCACTGAGCTAGATAGCCCCTGTCCCACTTTAGCACAATTTCAATATGATGCTTATAGTTTGTTTTCATATAAATTTCATAGAATTTATAGACTACAGTCTGTTTTCAGTCTAGTTATTCTACCTAGAATTCCAGTTTCTATCAATGGCTTCTTTACATTGGCTATAAACCTATACATCAACTGACACACTAATGATAGATAACTATACAGACTGAGAGTTTAGTTTCTGCAGAAAGCAGCAGAACCTGAATGTAGCTAACAATGAGGAAACAACCAAGGAAATACAACCAGAGAGATAGCCATTATTTGTGATGTCAGTGTAAAGCTCCCTGTAAATGTAAGAAAGGACTAGCAACTAAAGAGCTGCCAAGACACTGAGTCCCACAAGTCCAAGCTCACCCACAGTGTGGCCTTCAAAGGAAGCAATCCACAGAGAAAATTCTAGATTTTCTTTTACTTAAAAAAATTATTGAGTGGGGCTGGAGAGATGGCTCAGTGGTTAAGAGTAGTGGCTACTCTTCCAGAGGACCCGGGTTCTATTCCTAGCACCAACATGGCAGCTCACACCTGTCTGTAACTCCAGTTCCAAGGGATCTGGTATCCTTATACCAATGCACATAAAATAAAGTTAAATAAAGTATTTTAAAAAATCATTGAGCAAACACTCAGTGCTTTATAGAACAATGTGCCGCAAAAGAATAAAGAGCTCTGTTTTAAGTGCTGACTGTTATCAAATCATGTAGTCTACATAACTTTTGTTAGATAACTACATATATTTCTGCTTTATAGTTGTGGGAATTATGAGACTTTTCATTGCTGGGAGGCAGGCTCTGAAACACTCAGCTAATCTTACAGATGCAGACAGCTCCTAATATTTATCTATACTTACAAGTAAACTGGGAACTTCTTTGAGATTAAAGAGTAAAGGAAATTTACAAATTTCTTTTTTTGAGCTGGAAAAATGGCTCAGCAGTTAAGGGCACTTACTGCTCTTTCAGAGGACCTGAGTTCAGTTCTCAGCACTCATAAGAGGTGGCTCACAATTATCTGTAACTCTATTCCAGGGTATCTGATGACACAGACACAGACATAGACACACACACACACACACAGACAGACAGACAGACAGACAGACAGACACACACACACACACACACTTAAAAATGACAAATCTTTAAAAAGTTTAAAATTATATGTTTGTTAGTGTTTTGCTTGTGCCCAACCTACATGGGCTGGAGGCCAGAAGAGGGTGTTGGAGCCCCTGGAATTGGAGTTACAGATGGTTGTGAGCTGCCATGTGGATGCTGGGCATTGAACCCAGGTCCTCTGAAGAACAGCTGAGCATCTCTCTAGTCCCAAGTTCCTACCTTCTTATAAGAATAAAGAATGAAATCCCAGCAGTTGGGAGGCAGAGACAGGGGGATCTCAGTTAAGCTTGAGGCTAGTCTGGTCTACAGATTGAGTTCCAGGACAGTGGGGCTACAAAGAGAAATCCTGTCTCAAAAAGCAAAAACAAAAAACAAATACAGAACAAAAAGAATGAACTAAAAGATTTGTTATCTATTAGAGACACAGTGTTTCCACAGTTACTCTTTTCAAATTTATACAGTAGCCGGGCAATGAATGATGTGTAAGCCTTTAATCCCAGCACTTGGGAGACAGAAGTAGGCAGATCTCCTTATACAGAGAAACAATGTCTCAGGAAAAAAAAAAATCAAAATTTTAAACTAATGAAAATAAATTATTTCCTTTAGGATAACACTAAGAATTTGAAACAAAAATAAGTCATTATTATCAACACAGGAAAAGAAGGCCTTATTAATTCTATAAGCAAACACTGGAAGTAACAGTAATTCAGCTGACTCCAGTATCAGTATGTACGAACAGAGAACAGAGTAAGGCTGGAATGCTTTAGGTTCCTAGTGGCCAAAGCTACCATTTCACAATCCTGACTTGTTTGATATCCAAGTCAGAGTTTATTTAACAGGCTCTTAGCCCTTCAGCTGGAGTCTCACCCTGCACACCCCACACCTCAAGACACTGCTTCCACAATTAGCAGAGCAGAATCTGTGCCTAGAGAAACTTAGTAATGCTTCTGAAGTCCTCCTTCCTTCCCTTTTTTTTCTTTCAAGGTCTTGGTGCTGGAGGGAGAGCTCAGCAGTAAGAGCACCAGCTACTCTTTGGGGATCCAAGTTTGATTCCCTGCACCTACATAGTGGCTCACAACCATCTGTAACTCCAGTTCCAGCGGACAGACACAACACCCACTTCTGTCTTCCTCTGGCACCAGACACACATGTAGCCAAAACACCCCCACACATAAAATAGGGGAAAATTCTTACAGTAAAAGAAAACGCATGAGTCTGTAGATCAGAATAGCCTAGAGCTCTCTCTGTTATCCTGTCTCAGCTTCCTAAGTGCTAGGATTACATGTGTGGGCCACTATACCCAGCCACACTTCAGGGTTGGTTGGTTGGTTTTTGTCTCTGGTCTTAAGGTTCCAAAAGTGGCAAAAACATTACTTTCTTTCCTGAGTTTGGGGGTAGATGTGCCTCAGGCATTCTGAAATCGTAATTGTATTTTCCTATAGTAATTAAGTTATATACAACAACTCCACTGAAATGTGGGCCACATTCCAGTTCTAAATGAAAACTACACAGAATATCTGTTATTTAAGAAGCAGTACACAGACTTTGTTTTAACTCTAAGTCCAATATATGATTTTGTCCTCCCAGTCCCTACTACTCCATTTTAAGACCTGCTTGGGCTGTAAAAGCATTATAATTATATTGACACAGTGACAAAATGATTTCAACTCTTCAAATTCTTACCTTACACCTGGAATCCAACTTGTTAAGTTGGGGCTAAGTCTCCCTCCCCACTCTTTGGATGGTTTATAAAAATGTCTGAAATTATTTTAGGTCTTTTAAATACTTCTGTTAAAGTCAGTTTATCCAGTTTATTTCCCTTTCCTGGGACTGCTTATTTCCTGCTTATTTCTGTTCTGTGATGAGTCTCCACTATTACTAATAGATACAAAAATAAGATAAACATTAAGTAGCAACTCTCAACTCAAGTAAAATTTACTTGCAAATAATGAAGTAAAAAATTAGACCTGGGGATATGGCTTAGTTGGTAGAGTGCTCACTCACGACCTGTGAGGCCCTGGGTTTCTTCCCCAGCACCAAATAAAACTGGATGTGCTGGCATAAGCTTGTAATTCAGAACTTGGGAGACGGAGCAGGAAGATCAAGAGTTCAAGGTTGTCTCAACTATATACCAAGTGTGAACCTGGGTTACAAGAGAACCTAAGGGGGAAAAACAAAACACCTCCCTACTTCACTGAAAATAATCTTTAGGCCTCTTACATTCCTTAGAACCAATGAATTTACTATTATTTTTTGTGACAGGAAAAACATAACAGTAATGAGAAATGGGTGTGGGGAGAATTCAAGAAAGGGAGAAATCATCAAAGATAAATCACTGCATAAAACCGATGCAAATATTAAATTTATCTAATTAAATGATATAGAACCTTAAGGGGGAAAAAAGACTCCTGAAAGTCCAAACAAGCAAGCTGTGACCAAAGTTAAAGAGCATTCACCCAGTCAGTTATAAGAACAGAAGCCAATGAAAAAGCATAACATTAATAGTTAATAGCACTGTTTGGGCCCTGAGTGCAAATACTATGGAAGAACAGGCACAAAAAAGAACACAAATAAAATGCAAAGTAAAATAAATGAAAATTCCTGTTCCTCAAGAGCTTACAGTTTAATCGGTGATATGATACACATGCATGAGAAAAGGCATAAAGTGTTATAGGTAATGGCAAACAAATATAACTCAATCAAATCATAAAGCAATGAGATGATGTCCTCATAGAACTCCAGTACCTATTAATCTCCTTCACAGATAACTACATTTTATCCCCAAACTAGAATGCACCACAAAATAATGCCTGGGAAGTCAGATCACTAGTTTTCCTTTTTATCTTAACTATATAGTATGAGGGCAATTATATTATTTTCTAAGTTTAAAGAAAATAATTCTTGTCCTGAACCTAAGTAAAATTTTTTAAAATATTTATTTATTTATTATGTATACAGTATTCTGTCTGCATGTATCCCTGCAGACCAGATCTCATTACAGATGGTTGTGAGCCACCATGTGGTTGCTGGGAATTGAACTCAGGACCTCTGGAAGAGCAGCCAGGGCTCTCAACTTCTGAGCCAGCCCCGAACCTAAGTAAAATTTTAATAACTATAAAAAGAAATAAGAAATCAAAACTGGTTACATCAGAAAACTCATGCATTATATTAAAAAAAATCTTATATTTTCTACCCAAGATCATAGGTAACTTTTATAGAAAAGAGTTTAAAATTCCATAATTTTAATTTATTCCATAAATACTACCGAACACAAGCAGGCAGAAAAGAAGCCCAAAGCCCCACTACAGCATAGCAGTGTGGTCTGAGGCATGCACACAGGAAAGATTCTGAACTTTCACCAAGTTAAAAAGCTCAGAAGCAATGGTTAACAAGAAAAAATGTGTTGAATCTGTGTATCAAACATGAAGACAAATCTTACAAACCCCTCATTAAATACAAAGTTCTAACACTTCGCCTTCTTGTGTCCTAGTGGCAGAGTAGATTTCTGTTCCTCATGGAGACCATTTTCATTGTGGCTTTGCTTTAACAAAAAGGCTGTCTGAGCAATATCTGTATATATTTAGAATAGTAAGGTTCGCCAGTGAAATTTAAAAAAAGATATTCTTCTGGAATTCCTTAAGTAATGCCTAGAGTCATTTCAAACTATTTAATCCTAAAATTTTGAGGACTCAGCATTTCAAATTGTCACTACATCAATAATATATATAAACTAAAAATGAAAAGACCCTTCCAATTACTCATAGATAAACTTCTACTATCATAACATAGTTCTCAAAACTGAAAAATTACATAGAACCTCTTAAGATTAAGATACTGCTACGATTGTAAGTAGGGGAAATTCTACACAAATTCAACAAAAACCTAAAAGGTGAGTTTCACGGTCACAGCATGGAAGCCAGGCCAGGCTCACCTTGGACGTCTTCCTCTCCACCATCACCATCTTCTTCCTCATTGTAAGCCAGCTCAGCCTGCTTGTCTGCCTCATACTCACCTACGTTACCATCATCCCCATTATAATCCGCCAGTTTAGAGCCATGCTGCGGATCAACAGGGGATTCATTTTCATCAAAGAATCGGCCTGTGAAGTAGGTAGAGGATTAATTCAAGAGTAAAGAGCAGAAAAGAAGGGACCTGTACTGAAGACAGATGAGAAAGCAGGCAAGGGAAACCCAGAAACTTTCAGGGTACTGGTCACAAAAGAACACATTTCATGAAGAGTATACAGGACAAAAGCAATTAAGAATGAAGACTAAAAATACCTTTTAAAAAATCAGTTTATCGATCATACTTCAAGAGAATAGTGGGCTGAGCAACAACTCTGTCCCTGCTTGCACCCCCAAATAAAATTTAGTCAACAATTTCTCTTCTGTGCTTAGTATTTCTGTTAAGATTTAACAGGTGGTGGTGGCACATGCCTTTAATCTCAACACTCGGGAGGCAGAAGCAGGCAGATCTCTGAGTTCCAGGCCAACCTGGTCAACAGAGCCAGTTCCAGGACAGCTAGTCCTACCAAATAAGATTTAAAGCTGTTTTGTTGAGACAAAGTCTTACTGTGTAGCTCAGGCTGGTCTCCCCAATGCTGGTGACTTGAAAGTTTTCTTAAAGAAAAGGGTGCCATGTTTAGAATTCCTTTACTAATGACCTACTAATGGCGTGTACCACTATATTTCATTAATGTAAGTACTGGTGGAAAGTGACATTTTAGCGGGGCAGTAGTGGTGTACGGCTTTAATCCCAGCATTCAGGAGGCAGAGGCAGGTGGTGAGTTTGAGGCCAGCCTGATCTACAAACTGAGTTCCAGGACAGCCAGGACTGTTGCATAGAGAAGCCCTGCCTCAAAAACCCTTAAAAAGAAAAGAAAGTGACATTTTAGGGAAAGAATATAATACATACTTGAAATCTGTAGTCATTTACTGCTGCATATCATGAATGATCTGAAGACTTTTTAAAAAGCAATCAATGAGTTCTGTGCAAGCTAAATCCTCTCTGCATTGTAAGACAAACTAACACCATCTGAAGACTACTTCAAATTCCTTCAGTAATACTGACTCACCATAGCCATGAGCTTCTAAGGAGACATGGCAGACAGAACAAATCAGATCCTTACTAGTATTTGCCCTGAAAAAAACCCTAGCTTATCCCTTGCAGTTTCCTAGGTCAGGTTTTTTTTTTTAAATGTCAATGGAAGCTTAAAGAAATTGGTCTATATCAAATCATTATACTTTCATTAACAATGAAAATTCAAGAAAGGCAATAAACTTAATACCTCACATAAAAAGCTGTTCAATACCTGGACATTAAAAGCAAAACTGGGGCCAGTGAGATGGCTCAACAGGTAAGAGGCCTTCTGCCATGCCTGACTCTCTCTTCCTGATACACAAACACACATTCCAAAATGTGTACAAGTAAACAATCCAGGTACACTAAAATCTAATCCACAAACGGGGAAGGATGGGGGTAAAGCTTAGTGGTGGATCACTTGTCTAGGATATGTAAGGCTATATGTTCAATTCCTAGACCTACAACAAAGCAAGCAATAAAACCTCCACATAACTACATTAACATTAAATTTATCAGCATTAAAATTAATATTAAAGGGCAAGAGAGATGACTTAGCTGGTAAAGGTGCTATCTACAAAGTCTGACTACCTGAGTTCAATCCCAGAACTTAAAGCAAAGGTGAAAGGAGAATAATAACTACCACAATTTACTCTATGACCTCTATACCTTACCATGGTGCACAGGTGTGCGTAGACACACATTTAAAAAATAAGAAAATTGTTGCAATTGCCAAATAGGAATGAGATTAATTTACTAAGGATGTAAGGAATCTGCAGCAAAGCCTGAGGACCTGAATTCCATCCCTAAAGGCACACAGTGAGCTGGGCAATGGTGGTGCATGCTTTTTAATTCCAGCACTCAGAAGGCAGAGGCAGGTGGATCTCTGTGAGTTCACGGCCATCCTGGTCTACAGGACAGCCAAGACTATAGACTGAAACCATCTCAAAGGAAAAACAAACAAACAAACAAACAAACAAACAAACAAACACAAAAAGCAAACCACCAACAACAACCAAAATGCAAAAGGTGGGAGGAGAGAGGGTCAAGTTGTCCTTTGGCTAACATGTACACACTGAAGGAAGTGTATGACACACACACAATAAATGTAATAAATATTGGCAATCATTTCCAATTAAAAAACATCACATAGATCAACAATTCCATGTTAGCTAGGTATAGCCATGGATCATAATGTTTTCTATCTCTGCAAAAGTTTTTTTTTTAACAAAACATTGCTATAACCCAATAAAAGATCAAACAGCCAAATGTAATAGAAGTGTGACCATTCCTATTAACCTTAATCTTCTAATAAAGAAGAAGGCTTAATCCTTACCTTTAATCCCAAATATTCTTTCACTATTTGGAATGTAGCTAAAGCAAGAAAATAAATAATTAAAATCAAGTCTGGGTATGGCAGTGCATACCTTTAATACCATCACTTGGGAGGCAGAGGCACACAGATCTCTCTGAGTTCAAGGCCAGACTGGTCTACAAAGTTCCAGGATAGTCAGGGCCACATAGTGAAACCCTGTCTCGAAAAACAAAACAAAACAAAACTCATAGGAAAAAAATGTTCTAATGCTTCTAGATGAAGAACAAAATCAGAATAATGATGGGAGATGTCCTTCTGTATGCTGTGAATATATGCTTCTCTTATAGGTTGATGAATAAAGCTGCTTCGGCCAATGGACTGGCAGGATGTAGCTAAGCAGGAAGTATAGGTAGGGCTACCGACTAGGAGAATTCTGGGAAGAGGGGTGCAGAGAGTGACTCTCCAGAGAGACACCATGCAGCCACTGGGAAGGTAGGACACTGGGAATTCTCTGGTAATCCAAGACCACATGGAGATACACAGATTAATAGTTATGGGTTAATAATTAAGAGAGAGCTAGCCAGTAGGAAGCCTAAGCCACTAGCAAAACAGCTTATAATTAATATAAGCCTCTGTATTTGTGACTAAATGGCAACAGGACTAGGCATGCCAGAAATTTCCATCAACAGAATAAAGTAGCAAAATATTCTATCATTTTCATTTATTTTTTTAAGAGAGAGAGGGGGAGACTGTGTGGACTGTGTGTGTGTGTGTGTAGTTTGGAGGCTGAATCCTTTGGATCTGGTGCTGGGAATCAAACTCAGGTCTTCTGCAAAAGTATTAGGTGCTCTTAATTTAACTTCAGAGCCTTATCTCCAGCACCCCTCCCCCCAAGTCTCTTGTTGAACTTGGAATTAATTCTTCATTTCAGTTAGGCTGGCCCACCAGTGAGCCCTTCCACCCTACTGATTAAATAAAAACTGAAATACACACACACACACACACACACACACACACACACACACACACACACGGTTATTCATTCATTTATTTAGAGGCATGGTCTCACTTTGTAGCTCTGTCTGGTCTAGGACTCATTATGTAAACCAGACTGACTAGGAACTCACAGAGATCCATCTATCTGTGACTCTGGAGTTATAGGATTAAAGATGTCCTTATCTTCCACCCCCCCCCCCCCAA